AAGTAGAAAATGACTATGGCAACACCTTCAAACAGACCCTTACACATGCTGAAATACTAGAGCGGAAGAGTCCGCGAGATTTTATCCATGTGAAAATAATGCAGGTACTCAACTCGAATGCCATGATGTTTTGTTATATGTACCAATTCGTGTGGAAAGCGCGCACACATGTCAAGGGGCGGTACCCAGGCAAGATGAAAGCCCAATTGTTAAGCAACGGAATCAGTCAAACACCGGAATCACATATTTTCTCAAACTTTCCAATTCGTTAATGAGTCCCTTGTGAGAAACAGCAGCTATAAAAACAAAGTGTACAAGGTATTACAACCGAAATGGTAAACACCAGCAGGGACATAAACCCCCACAAAGATGAAATGTGAGAAATCTGACGAAAAATTAGGGCTTCGGCGTTCGGCTAAGCCCTATGCACTTACTAGTCTCTATTAAGGAATTCTTGATGAACCTCAGAGCTCTCAAATTCGAAGTGGAAAGTCCACATGGCTCTCACGCGCACTCGTTGTGGCGGCATTTTCTGAGTGATAATCTGATGAGACTTTGACTGTCGCGAGTGACTATCTCCACCGCCCACTGAGTGGGTGCAGCAGCTGCGACTTGCGCATGACTTGGTTGTGAAGCAAAACTGTACAGCAACTATCGCATCCTCTCCTGCCTTATCAACTACACACTGATAGCAAGACAATCGGATTTGGGCTTGGGCGGTGGCTGATAGAGCTATATTAGCTCGTCTACGCGTTCCACACACGACCACACAACATACCACATCTCTACAAAATGAGAGACGGCTCAGGTCTCCCCTTTATGAGAGTGTCATATGGACCATAGTGAGAAAACGCTGAGCTTACTTCCAGTCCTTGAGTGAGTCTCCCTACATCTATACACAGTGCTGGCCACGAGGAGCAAGTTATTCAACAAAGTGGTACTCTTACTTGCCTACCGGACGTGAACGCTCGCCCGGGTGTCACCCCGGAAGAAGTTCAGGACGCGCATAAGCTCATATTCCCATCTGTTATACTTGTTGCAAAAAGATGGATGCATGTCAGCCATTGATATAAGTATAGGAATATATTACTAGAATATACTATCCGCTGGTCTTAGTAAGCATGATTACTAGCATTAGCACTCTTGGCAGTGGCATATTACCTCTAGCAGTAGTGTCCTAACCCAAACTTAGTAAAACGGGACACAGCTTTTGGTGGACAGACGTGAGAGGATGGAAACCAAGGCAAGTCCTGATGTGCGCCGGGCATCAAACATGCATTTACTCGAAATAGCTTAAACCTAGGTTCACCCTTCTTGTTGAGATCGAGGGGATATGAGCCCTAGCGTTGACTTTAATCACCGTCAACTCTGACGAATACTAAAGTCAGAAATAGTATCTGCATTACCAACACTAAGCTACAGTCCTAATTACTAGTAGTAGAAATAGCAGTAGCAGCCTCAGTTTCCTTGAGTCTGTCTTGACACCTACTGATGTGCTCTGAGCCTCAAACATCTGCTTTACTCGGAATAGCATAAATCCAGGTCTCAACTCCTAGATGAGATCGAGAGAACACGAGCCCAGCACTGACTCTAACCAGTGTCATTTCTGACCAATTACTAGCGTTAGTAATAGTACCAGCAACACTATCACTCAGCTACACTGCTAGTAAGCAGCAGTGTAAATAGTAGCAGCAATATCAGACTCGGTCTTCTTGAGTCTTTCTGGACACCTGCTGAAAGTGAGTGAAGGTAGAAAGTGCAGCAGTACCAGCGCAAAAGACTACTGCCACTTAGGACTAAGTAGGCGGTGTTCTGGTCTGCATTGGTGAGGTGTAGAAGGTAGGTTTTTCGTGATGATCTTGCGGTGACTTGAACTATTACTGATACGCATACGATGAGTTAGATTCATGCACTCTACGAATGCCCTGAAGCATTGTAAGCAGATGAGGTGCTTAACGGGTGTATATTGGGGCAGCAGATAGTAGTTCACCGGCTTTGTGATAGATCTGTAAGTGATGGATGATGATGCGTAATTGCAATGGTTAACGGATGAAGGTGAGACCACGCTGTTGGTAGTAGGAGAGCAATGAACGTAATGTTTTATAGGTAGGGCGGAATGTCCCCATTGATAATGCCGATGGGGGATGATAGTGGGATTGTTTTGAGATGACAGGTTTATGGATCACACTGGCACTGCACTAGATCCGCAACGTGTTCGACCTGTGTCCGGAAAGTCGGTTTAAGAGGTCCAACTACTGAATCTGCCTGAAACATCGGAGGACGACAGGAAACCACCTACTTCCGATATACTGACTACACGTGCTCAAGACGGCAGGCGGTATATAAGCGTGCCTTGATCAACCTAAGGGTAAAAGGTGAGGCAGGAAAGTAGACGAAAATGAAAGGAAATGCAACGAACCTCCATGTAAGCAGCAAATTCTTCGGCTCTGCTGAGGAATGGAAACTGGCCACCAAGCTCGAGATGGGCCACTTTGGCGTTCGGATAAGCTCTGTTCACACTTTCAAAATGCTCCTTATAGGAGGCAGCTAAGTCACCCACCTAGGAGAATAAGACAGTTTTGGAAATATATCACAACAACACAATTTTGATCCCAAAAACAAGACGTGCAAAGAAAATAATAAAAGCCGAAGTATAGTCTTTTTCCGGACGGGAGCATAAATAATGAGCAATAAAGAGGAGCGAGTAGTTCCAGTATTGCGTTTTTTTTTAAGAATGCACTCATCGAAAAGGAAACCTCTGGGTGATCAATAAGAAAATCGGCAGGTCTTAAACGACACTCTTTCCATTAATGCGTGTTTGGGGTAACCTGAGATAAATTGTCTTATGTGGATAGCTAAAACTGACTGCATACAAACAATAAAAGAAAATCTCGACAGGAAACCCATGTAACCAATGATGAAAAGCGACGGTCAAGAATACAGTTGCCTTGAACATGTGGACATGGAAACTTAGCTTACTTACGTAGCAAGACTTGGCTTGCTACCTGGGAAGAAGTCATGGGGATTATAATATTTTTAACACAAGATACGGCCTTCAGGAAATCCGAGAAGCTGCTTGGCAAATCAAAAGGAAACCGAAAGTGGCACCACCCTATGAGACGGTAAAGAGGAAGAACTGTGTAGAAAAAGTTGTCTGAAAGTTTTCCGGCGATCTTTCGGATGATTTGAGTAACCAATGAAACTATTATTTGATGGCACCTGCGATAATAACAACAAGCGACCAGTTACCTAAAAAAGGATGAAATCTTGGCGCCAGAAGCTAGAATGCCAAAATATAATTTAATCCAGAGTTTAGCAAAAAGGCATTGCCACTGATTTATAGGGCCCTTCGTAAATATACAGCATAGCTCACTGATGAACACAGTACTGTACTGCGAGAACTACCGCGGTATAAGTCTTATCGAGGTTGCTGCAAAGATCTTCATTATTGTCCTTTTCAGACGATTTCAGGCTGTGTGACTCCAAGACGAGGCATAACCAAGCCAGATTTCGAGCTGGGCGTGGATGTGCGGATCAGATATTCACACTGACACGGATAGTTGAATTCCGCCATAGCTACCAACAGTCAACAAATGTGTGCTCTGTTGACTTTTCCGCTGCGTTAGATTCCGTCTATCGTGAATCCCCCATGGTGGATAATGGCGCCAGATGGTTTACCACCAAAATTCATCACC